TATTTTGATGATACCGATTTGAATAAATGTTCCTTATGCTTTTAATTTACCTGTTCGACAATCACCCACGGTACTTTTCGCGTACGAATCCGCGATACGAGCACGATCTCTTAACGCGGTAATCCGGTTAATTATTCCGATTGTATGATCGATGCGATAATTCGCGATAGTTTCTGAAACGCCAACTTGCGAACGGAGCGCCGCGCGACACGCGTGCGGCACCTAAGTAACCGCATTAAGAAGAAGCCGACACGCAGAAACGCGCGGAGCGGGCGAGTCCGTAAGGGCATTAATGCGCCGGAGATTTATGTGGTAACGGCGAGGATGAAATTCCATCGCGGTAGGTGCTCGTATAAGTGGCACGCTGCTCGCTGGCGGAGGCGCGAGAGAGTTATGGTTGCCCATACTGATATCCACTATAAACTCCCCCGTCGTCCGCCCTCCTCCGCGCGTCCTCCTACGCTCTCTCTACCACGGCATACTTAATTAAATACGTATTAAGAGCCTGAGTGTGTTCCGATGTACCGATGTGCGCCTGCATCGTGGAATAACATATGCTTCAGCGCGCGCGCGCGCGCGCGCGCGCTAATTACTTTCTCCCACCGAGGTCGCGCCGACAGTTTTACTTTCCCCGCGTGTACAGTGGAATCGCATTTATCGAAACGAATCGCACCCTTTTGCATAACAAAGAAATTTTTAACGTTACGCACGCTTATCTCTCTTTATGAGATTGTCGGACCGACGAATTTATTATCGATCGTCGTCGTTACAAGAAGATAATTACTTCTCCATTATTCATTAATTATTATGCGTACACGCGCGCGCGCGCGCGCACACACACACACACACACACACACACACATCGTTAAATGTTATTAGAGAAAACCGTTATATGCTAACGTTCATCTTCTCACGAACAGAATATTCCTGTAAGATATCATCCGCCCTTAAGGCCGATCAAATAAAGACCGCTTGTTGCGCCCCAAAGGACAAGTAGACAGAAGTTTGGAATGGAAGGTTGGTTGGTCGACACCCGCTGAGCTAGGGACGAACAATTACTGTTAATTAAGATGGGCGTGCCGCACAGGTCACACTTGCCGATCTCAAGGCTTTCGACAAAGAACAGATCAGGCTGTTTCGTCAATTCTAGTGCACTCTCGAATAGTTGAAATTTCCTTGTATTTCTATGATTTTTATGTCACGTTATAAAAATAAAGTAGGATTTTTTAAATACAGTAACAACGATAGGTAAAGTACGTGATAGGAGGCATCGAAACACCACTACTCTATAATATTAAGAGTGTACCAGATATATAATATGTTTGCGATGCGTCTTTAATTTATATAACAATTAAGATTTTACTGTCGATTTGTTGTAAGAAAAGAATCAAGCGGAAAGATAATCGATATACTGAACTAGCTTTTAGTATCAAACAATGATATTTATATCAGACCTTTACTCGATTTATCAATCAATTAATTAAATAAAAATAAAAAAAAAAATAAAAATACTTATTTTATTGTTACAGATTTCACCGAAGTACCGGAAGAAAAGAGCCGCCGGTGCCGAGACGCAATAGAGCGCCGCATAGCCGCTCCTCTCTTCTTCGTTTCGCCGTTGGAAACCGTCGGTGGGCTCTCCGAGCCCACCCTCTCATCGGTCAAACTGGCGAGCGCGTTAACCGCTGGCATGAACCCCCACCATCCGGGCCACTCCGCAGCCTACCCCCACCATCCCTCGCTCTCGAGCAGTCCGCATCATCCAGGGCCCGGCGGGCCGCATCACGCGTATGGGACCGGTGGAGGTGGCGGAGGTGGCGGTGGCGGCGGCACCACGACCACCCCCGACTTACCCAGCCCGCATTCACCTCAGCATAGTGGTGGTGCCGGCGATCCCGCCACCCCTTACGGTGCCCTACAACCTGGACAGGGTATGGGCAGCAACGGACATCATCATAGCGGTGGCGGCATGATGCCAGATCATCCACATCACCCTGGACACCCCCATCCCCATATGCCGGGGCATCCCGCGTACCCGCCGGTTAATCACAACAACAACTGCACCCTCAAGGTGAATATCGTATTTTTGCATAAAGTCCGATTTTATCTAATAATTTATTTCGATGCTACGCTTTGTCTTAGCGTCGAGACACTACCGTGTCTCCTGATGTCTTTGGATGGTTATTCTTGAAATATCAGTGTTTCGTTAATTATTTTTAATTATTTATGCGCGTATAAATTGCACACGATCTGAAATTCAATTTTTTCTTGCCGACGACGAAGTGAAGCGATACAGGTGGTTCCAAAGACGAAGAGTGGTGAAAAATTCCAAGACCCTCCGACTTTGTCCATAAAGGACTCGGGAACGGTATAACATAGGGTCACAGGGTACAATTCGACAGTATTATCCGTCCGACCCTCACTTACCCCACCATTGACAAACGTAACAATATAGGCATTTATGATGGAGAAATATAATTGAATAGGGGCGGAGGGGCCCGCGCGGGGCTCCCTCTTGCAGTTTTCTGCTCGACGCTTTACCTGCCCCTTTCCCTTTCTTCTCTTCCCTGCCCTTGCATCACACAACGTTCTGCCTTTTTCAGAGTATATTGCTTCTCCAACTTTCATTCTTTATTCACCTTTCTGTGTTGACTGTACCCTGTCTTCCGGTTTCCAACGCCCAAAGACGTACATACATCTGTTGCTCTACTTCGTGAACTGTTTTTCGACGATTGCTACTATAGAGTCTTTTTTTCTCAATTACGTTCTGGTTTAAATCTTTTAACAGGACATTTTCTTATTTTCTAAATAATTTCTCTAATTATCTAGCTTTTCTCTACTATTTGTATAAATGTATATAACATACGAAATTGTGTTACGACCACAGTTTAAATTGTATCTTTTTGAGAAAAATGTAATCGGGATTTTATTTTGTCAATTATGACTGGAAGAGAATGACACCATATTGATTTGGATGACAGTAACAAAAGTTACATGTTTTAAAACTTTCTTGCATAACTTTCTTGTGTATCTAGAAACAGATGAATCTCATTATCCGATATTAATAGTGGCTGTTTTGGAAATCAAAATAAACACTTTTTACTCCAGGCGTCTGAAAATTATGAAATTTTATACGGTTAAATTTTCTAAAATTCGCATTCTAAAATTTTTTTTCTTCTCATGATTTAAATAATCAGACGCCACAATTCTTAACTCGAATCCATCGGTTATTTGGATTCTTGAATGACGTACTGTCGTATTCATACATTCTTCGAATTTTTTTCGGATCTTTTTTCTGTCATTTTTTCTTACAATCTTTCTTATAGTTCCTCAGTCTTGTCCCACTCGCACCATCTCACTCCGATTCATCCTTATTCTCTCGCGCCGCTTCTTTCTTTCTCTACATTGAGTCTTCTCTATTCGTTATTCCTTCTGTTTATTTTCTTCTCACTTCTACCGTTCTCCTTATTTTTTTCTCTCAAATCCTCGTATATTTTTCGTATTTTCATCTTTACCTCCTTTATATCTTTTCATGGTTTTAGACTTCCTTCTACCTGCCTTCTCTTTTCTATCCCTCTATTTTGCTTCTCTTTCTCTATCCTATTTCGCATCTCTTTTTTCATAATTTGTTTTTCGTACTATATCTCTTCTCTTTTTTTCCGCTACTTAATGTTTTTTACTTTCTTCATCATTATATTCCATAAATGTATACGTAATGTATCTGAAAATTCGTCGCAACTTTCGCTTTACACAACATTGTAAGACTCACGGCACTTAGGAAGCCTGTCCCAGAATATATTCCTCTCTCACCTCTGTCTGTCTTTGTTCCTCTCCTGGTTTCTCTCTCTCTCTCTCTCTCCTTTCTCCCCCTTCCTACCATTCTCTTCTCTCAACCGATGCTATGGAAAAGACCCCTTCCCCTTTCTCTCCCCTTCCCAGCCGTCGGGTCTCTCTCCGTCTGGCACACGAATGGGTCCCTCCGTTCACCTCCCCTCTCAATCCCGCTCTGTTTCCCTTCCCCTCGCCTCCTCGATCCGTCGCTCTGTCTTTATCTCGCCTTCTCTTTCAGCATCGGTTGGATCTTTCCTAGACTCGCCTTTTTACACTCTCCCTACCCTGAGACCAAGGTACCTGAACCCGCGCGCAGGCCCGCAAGGCATTCGGGGGGCCCGCAGCACCAGCCAGTTGGGTCCCGTCCGTACGTCGCTTCGCTTCGCTTCGTTTCGTTTCTTCTCTCTGTTCTCTCCTCTCATTCCCTTTCTGTATATACGTACGTCCATGCACCGCGTTACGCGAGGATACGCGGCGTCGCCGAAACGTGGCAAGCTTCGCTCGTAGTCGTCTGAGGTTCTTAGGTGCTTCGCTTCTGATTTCCCGTAGTACTGTGTGAAATTCGACGGGGAAGCGAGGTCCTCCGAAATCCTTGAAATCCCGCAAATCGCGGTGGGGGAAAGTGAGTGTATCGCAACGGGAACTTGTTCGAGGTCGAGTGATATCATTGGCCGAGTGAATCCGGAGTGCGGCCCGAGATCAGTTTTTCGTCGTAGTTCTTTTTTTTTCCCCCCCTCTCTTTTCTTTCGCTCCGTTTCTTTTCTTATCTCGTGCTCCACGCGGAGAGAGAGAGAGAGAGAGAGAGAGAGAGAGAGAGAGAGAGAGAGAGACATACAGTGAAGTGCGTCATGGAAGTCCAATACTCGTATCAATACGCTATTACGCCACGGATGAATAAATGGATCTCCGGCATCAAAACGGAAGTCAAAGTAAGATCACATGCGCAGTTGAGAACATTTTTTTTTTCTTTTCTTTTCGCGCGGGAAATATATCTTTTTTTTTTTTCTTTCTCTTCGGAAACTACGCTCGTCGACACGACGCAATAGCAATTAACGCATTCGCTCTCATATTCTGTGACGCAAGTCGAATGAATATTGCTGTGCGTAGCGTACCGTGTCCGACTATTCGCATAACTGCACGGGCAGACGTTGTTATTTGAAAGTCATCCTACGCCACGGGATTACTACGTTGATAGATATTATACGAATGTAACAAATACAAGTACACACGTTAAGTACACGCGTATGTCCAATGTGTAATTTTTGTACTTTCAACATAGAGATCTATAGCTACGCTGAGAGAAAAAATAGTTGCAATTGCCATAATTTAACTACAATAGGCATTTTCGGTAGCAACTCTATATTTTTGGGGGTAGAGTTGTAAATAGAATTATTATTACCAACAGTATAGCGGCAATAACTGTAAAAATTGAGCTTCTAACCATAATTATATTATCTATATTTTATCATACGATTACGGTCACAAATATTTTTCTCTCAGTGTACATCTGCAGCTGCAATAACAGCGCATCTGGCTGGTATTGAAATCGACACTTGTTTTTAATCACCGAATTGTTTCTTTTCTTTTTATGTGTATATTTCTACAAATAACACAGATAGACCAATTAATTTTACATTGTCATCTTTAAATTTTTTATTACTTTATACACAAAACTACTATATCGTAATTGTTTTTCATCTCTTTTTAAATAAATATAATTATCGATTGGAACAAGAACTCAAGATATCGGCAAGAAGAACAAGACCAGTGTTGAATTAATGATAAAATTAAAGTATTTTTAACAATACTGAGCAATGTTGCACAAAGTGAAATTAGCGAGCAAGTTGTAGATCCCGCTAGCAAGAGTTACGTTCGCCTACGTGTGTTTGCATAATCACGAGTAAGCATTCATAATAAGCGCGCACTTAAGACGCCGTAATGATTTAGTGTTCGTTAATGACTTTCTGTTTCGCATTAATTACCACGATGCTTGAATTTCTACTTATAATGGGCTAGAAACGATTTCGAAGTCCTATGGCAACTCGTATACGCGTCCTCTTCAAAAAGATATGTCCGTCATCGTTTTTTAGAACTCGAACTTCTAACTAAGCAATCATCTCTCTCTCTCTCTCTCTCTCTCTCTCTCTCTCTCTCTCTCTCTTGCTGTCTCGAGAATACGTAGTAACAAGTTTAACTATACAAATTAATTAAACTGGGTAGTATATCCTTAACTAGATACAAATGAAAACTTGATGTTGCAGCAAGAAGGTGTCCCTAGCGGGTCAACGGGCCTTCGGCAATGCGCCGCCTGCGGTGTACAAATAGTGGAAAGATGGCTGTTGCTAGCGATGGATCGCTACTGGCACATTGGCTGTCTCAAGTGCACGTATTGCAACGTAGTATTGGGAGAGATCGGCCAGTCCTGCTACACCAAAAGTGGCATGATCCTCTGCAAGGCCGACTACAGACGGTGAGTCGTGTTGTTAATCTCTCTTGAACCGAACATATTGAATCCATCGATCAACACACTCGGAAAAATAGCCGAGAAAGTTGAAGAAAAAAAGGAAAGGAGAATGAAAAAGTTCCTTTTTCGGTAAAAAGTGGAGAACGTCCTCAGAGAACGGTCACCGCACGCTTCTTCGCGTATCGCCGCTTATCACGAAGTCGAAAAGTTGATAATGGTGGCTCATGAATAAATTAGAAATTATCGCTTCCATTAAATTAGGTACTCCGTCGCACAACATGGGACATTGGATAGTCCGGCTTTACCGGCGCATGCGCGATTCCGCGCGGCCGACAGAGAGAATCGGCGCCGTCTAATTTCTTGAAACTAATAACAACGCCCGACGCTTCGTTATTAATAATAAATACTGTTATTGTGCGCGGCCATTATGGCTAATTTATCGTGGTACTTGCCGCGCGTTCGTTTATACCGTGCCGAGATTCCTGGGAGCCAATATCGTGTAATCAACATTCCTCTCGTGCAAAATAGCCGCGGAACTAGGAAGTTGCCGTTTTACGTCATAATCATATTTGCCTTCTTTTTTTCCAATATCTATGGCAATTATTCGCTATATTGTTAAAATATATTCTGTACATCATGTGGACATCGTTACGATATCTAAATATATCTGGAAATCTTAAAATCTGGGGCCTTCGTGTGATTTAAAAATATAGAATTAAAATTAGAAGAAAAATCGAAATACATATATATGTTAGGTGTAGTAAAAAGTCATCGCGTATTTTTTAGCTCAAAGTTGTATATACAATATCTTCGTCAATAATGAATGAAATTCAAATT